GCGGAAGGGCTCGTGGGCATGAGCCACTGACAGGCTGTCTTCCTCCCGCCAGAGACCAAGGTGTACGTGGGCAACCTGGGCACAGGTGCTGGGAAGGGTGAGCTGGAGAGAGCTTTCAGCTACTATGGGCCGCTGCGCACTGTGTGGATCGCCCGAAACCCACCTGGCTTCGCCTTTGTGGAGTTTGAAGACCCCCGAGATGCTGAGGATGCTGTTCTTGGATTAGATGGGAAGTATGTAGGTATTTTAAACATTTAAAGTAGTCAGGGTGTTGAGCAAACATCACAGTACTTGCGGGGTTCTCTATCTCCTGTGGGTCATTAGAGTTAGTCCTTGCTTTCGTACAGCAAAAGTGCAATAAGGAAGAAACATGAAGTTTTGTAAACTGGTATGTGGTATGGATTTCTCCATTGCAGGATAATCTGTGGCTCCAGAGTACGTGTAGAGCTGTCGACCGGCATGCCTCGTCGCTCCCGCTATGACAGACCTCCAGCCCGACGGCCGTTTGATCCTAACGACAGGTGTTACGAATGTGGGGAGAAGGGTCATTATGCGTATGACTGTCATCGTTACAGTCGTCGGAGGAGGAGCCGGTACGTACGTGACCGGAGTGGTTGGTTGGTTGGTTGGCTAGGCCTGTTACTCTGGTAGTTTTTGTTAGCACAGAAGAGATTGTTACGCCGGTTTTGGTTATGGTTAACGTTAATGTTATAACTAACTGTGCAGGCGTATGTTGCGATTTGTTGCTATTTCGTATGGACTGTCACTATCTTAATAATCAACCTGGTCAAAACCTTTCAGGTTTCTTCGTTTGAGTCAGTCGCCTTGATTCAGAATGTCACGAGCCTTAAGATTTCATGCTGAGGCGCCTTGCAAATCCGACACTTAAGATCCTCCTAGACCTTGAGGTGATCAGCATAAGAGGCCAGATCCCCTCGAGCCATCTACACCTAGCTTCACCTTATTCTTTAAGGGCAGAAAATTTGAGACGGTGACCGCCATAACAGTAAATTTGGCTTTCAATTGGGGCCCCCCCCTCCGGTTTAGAAAGAGGAACACCAGATTGACCACATGCCCACCTAGAAAAATCTTCTTGCGTCAATCAAGCCTCACCCTGGCTCATTTGGCTGTCAGTTTGATCGTCGTTAGATTGAAGAGAACACCTAGATGCAGCGATCGGCTATAGATACTTCTAGATCGTCTAGATCTGCTAGACCTTGGGCCAAAGAGGGTCGACCTGCAAACTTGCAAGGTTTATTTTAAATACACATTACAGTGTTTTTTTTTTTTAATTCTAATGTAATTCTGAAATGTAATTCAGCTTTTTTAACATTTTTCTAGGTAGTAAAAATTGCTCAAGACAAATAGGCCCTGAGTTTTTTCCAACTGGCAGACACTAGTTTTTTAGTTGTCTGACTTTGACGTCAGCCGAGGCTCGCTTGCACTAATTGCTGGAACGTTGTTCTGAAAACCTTTGTCTCTAACCTAAAACTAGGTCACGGTCTAGATCCCGTTCAAGATCCAGAGGAAGAAGGTATTCTCGCTCACGCAGCCGAAGTCGTGGCAGGAGGTGAGCCTTACATTTTAAGCTGTATTTATTTTGAATTAAAAGTAGCATAGCAGTGTGCAACTGTGTATGCTTTTTTAAATCTTCCTGTCTGCAGATCCAGGTCAGCTTCCTATCGCAGATCCCGGTCATTCTCTCCTCGTAGATATAGGTCAGTCTCAACCCGCATGTCCCGATCTGATTCTTTAAGAAGATCAAGGTAATTGTTAGGCCTTGTGATTACCAGATAGTATTTCCATTAAGGTGGTGGATTCCATGTATATTGGAGGACATGGGAGGAGGGTGCAAAGCCCATTCTCTAGTCCTTGATGGAGCAGGCTTTTTGAAAAATTGTATTCCTGAAGACCATCTTCCTTTTTAAAAAGTTATATTGATCTTATTGAGTGAACTGATGTTGGAGTAGAAGTTATAAAAAAATATTTTTGGCCTTTGGGTCACACCTGGTAAACCTTTAGTTTTATGTCTGGCCTTCACTTAAGTTTAGGTAGTACAGCTGTGTTGGTTGTGAGTTGGGGAAGGGTCAGGGGAATTGCACTTCTGGTGACCTCTGAACTAGCAAATGTTCTAGGGTTTTTGTACATAAAAGTGAAGTTCTCTTGATGGGATTAGCTGTAGCAGCAAAGATATGTAATGTGTTTTCCATTTGGCTAGGTTTGCCAGTGTAACTGTTAGCAAACTCTCCCATACTTAGTCTTACTTTATGGAATCTTGGTATATTATCCAGAGTACCTTTGTAGACCTTGAGCACTTTTGGTTGAGTAAAACTAGTACCACTTAGCAGCTACCATGCTACTTCTAATAAACTGGTAGTAGTTTTTGACAATGACTTGTCTGTCCTCCCTTTTTATCAGCTTGTGTCCCCATGGACAATCTAGTGAGAACTGAAGCAGAGCATTCAGCTTTTCAAGTCTCTTTACATTTGTATTCAACCATGTGGTGCTGCTGCTACAAGTTTTTTTTTTAATCTGTGTTTGGCTTCTAATTTTTTGCTTTTGTGTCCAGACCCCGATAGACAAGAATTGCTGCTGTGAAACTAGTGATTAGGCTTCCCTTCTTTGAATTCCTTTGCTTGAGGGACCAAAACGCTATGCATTCTTTCTATTCATTAGACGGAGTTGCTATAATACTGCGGAAGACTTAATCCTCTTGTAAAATAACATTTTGCGTTAGCTGAGGGGGAGGTATGCATGAGTACTTCCATTTCTTTCTTTGTTTTAATTTTTTTTTCCACCCACCCCTACCCCTGCACCCAAACTTTAGGTCTAGATCCAGGTCAAGATCAAGATCTAGGTCTGCTCTGTGGCCACGAAGCAGGTAAAATCATTATAATGAAATCTATTAAGAGTTTTAAGATTTCCCTTTCTGTTAAGTTTGAGGATTGAAGTGTTATAAACCTGTACATCCAGTTCTGTATTTATGCTAGATTTTCTTGGCATTGCCAGCATTTTGCGGGTCCCTTCAGGGTCTGGCTGCATAATGGCAAACCATGGAAAAATCCTTGAAACAGTGAAGCATGTCTGCCTGGCGGGTGTCTATCATATACGAGTTATTAGAAACTTTTTTTCATGTTAAGTCACTTGAAAAGTCTTGGTGGCATTTGTCCCTTGCACATTTGGGATAAGTCCCTGCTTGTAACCTACAGGTGTTACTGTGTTGCTGCTTAAATCATTCTCTTCTCAAGTATCTGTTTTGTTTTGTTTTGTTTTTTAAACATCTTTATATAGTCTGTTGTGTGTACACATCCAGGCCAGGTACCTGAAAAGCATTCATAAGTGCCCCATCTCATGGTTATTGCTGTCTTGGTTATACCAGCACTGGTGAACTTCATGTGCTGTGGATATGTAAGAAATGGTGGTGTTGTGCCCAAGATTGTCTTGTATTGATTGGACCACAGGAATTAAATGTGGAAAGGAAATCCACTTTCTTAGGCCTACTTATTTCATAAAGAACAGCTTGCATTTAGGAGTCATTCCTTCCCTTTGTGGACCAGGAATCTCTTGCCACCTAAATGGTAAAGATTGGATTTATACTGGGGATTCTGGAGCAGATTAATATTTCTGAATCATTTTATCCTTTTGGTTAGATCTGCAAATATTGTTTCCTGTGCTTTAAAGCTGCAGAACAAAAACAGAGCGCTCTGTTTCCTGCCACTCTTCAGCTTTTAGTACAGGAATAGTTCTTAAAATGGAAATTGCAGCTAAAGACAAAGGAGCAGTGATTCTATCTAGAGGAGAAAAGGAGTACTACTAGCAGGAGCCATTTCTGAAGGAGAGAGAAGAAATTGGAACAATGAAGAAATGCTGATACGAGTACAAGGATTCTGGGGAAAAGGGTGGTGGGGAAGAGGACAAAAAGGCCTGTGGGGGGTGGGGAGAGATGAGCCCTGTCTTATCAAGATGTATTTTCCCCCCTTCTGATGCTTGAGCCATGCATTGAATGTTAACATTGGTTCCATCATGTTCACTTAGCCATCCATGACTCATTGGTGAGTAAATGGCAGTGATAGGCAGAGTATGTTTAATTAGACACACATTGCATGTTCATATGCTCTCAACAAGCAAGACTTCTAAATAAACTTCTGTATTATTGGTTACTCAGTTTTGCAGTTTTCAGATTCTGCTATTCTTTGTTCTTGTATGTACAGAGTATTCCTACTCATTAGCTTTGTTTCTTTGGAAATTCCTGTTTTACTTCAAGTATTTGTGGTCTGTTGTGCCAAATTTTGGGATTTGCATTAATATAAAAAACAAGACAAAAATGTTGCCACTTTTGTTCATCACTTCCTAAACATTCAAAATTAATCTTCACTTTAGAGATTAAGTAACTGTGCAGCAGAAGGGTTAACTGGCATTGTATGAATGTTGAGCAGGTTTTATCTTATTCGAAATTTTTACTGCATTCATTGTAAATGAAAGCATGTTCCTTGTTACAGCAAAGTGTGTTTTATGAGATGGCTATTTGGATCACTGGGTGTCTTCACTGGTGACATGAGAGATCTTACCAAAGGGACAGCATGTGAAGCTTAGAATGTGGTTACAGGTTATTGCTCTGGCCAGATAAGGCAAATTAGTGTTGTATATTTCAAGAGGTTCTGTTATGAGGGGAACAATTGATCGAGCTAGTGGGGAAGGCAGTGAGTGGCTTTTCAGTTCAGTGGCTTTTGGTTACTTTGAGCTTATACATACAGAGTTAAATTTAAGGATTAGTAGTGTCAAATAACCAAGTCCAAGGTTATATCTGAGTTTTGAAAATCATTGTATGTTTTTCAAAAACTTCTGATTTGCCTTGCTGCCTGAATTCAATGCAGTAAGTTTTATGTGAAAAAGAATAATGGTTGCCATTTTAGACAGTTCAAAGTTTATAGAAAGATGGAAGAAGAGGAAGGGCAAGCAACAGCTTGTCCAACTTGCTAGTTAAAAATCCAGCAGCTTTCTTGGATGTGGTATTGTAGTAGTTTTGAGTTAAACAGCCCTAGTGTAGCTTATAGCTCTGAAATCTTCTGAAGATTATTCATCTTAAAATATAAGAAAATAATCACAATCTTCAGTTGACATGCACACAACTGGGAATGAAGATGCAAGTAGAAAGTTGTTAAAGCATTGAGATGAGGATGATTGAGTGTTCTGGAAAATCAAAGTTGGGATCAGATGGGAGACGATCCAACTTCCAAATTTGGAATGCTGCTTTTGTGAAAATCCTAGCATTTTGAATAGAGGTCAATGTACTTGTATTAATTATTGCCACAAGTTTTTCTAGTAATTTTTGAAATGGTGACTTACCAGGATGAGCTTTCATGATAAATGAATTGGAAATACAGTATTTACTTGTATGCCACACCCCCACCCCTCTCTCCCAAAATACATGCACCTTGTTATGGAAAGGAAGAATTTGGAAAAACACCTTTTATTTTCTTTTCCATTCTTAACTGCCAGCACATGGGTTCAAGTGGCTGTCTGCTGGCCCCCAACAGGGAGTGAACCACACTTGGCTCACTCCTTAGCATTACTCTGTCTCTAAGCTGGTAGGTTCAGAACTATAGTTCTGCTCAACAGCTATAACAGGGTTAAAATCAACTGGCCCTGAAGGGTGTGTTCTGGCTCTGTCTTGGGTTGGAAGAGAAACACAGCCCATGGCAGCCATTACATGTTTTAACTTGGGGCAGAAAATTGACTTCCCCACTTAAGACATGCCCCAATTTTGGAGGGCTGACTTTTTCAGGAAAGGTGTGTTACACAAGTAAATACAACATAAGCTTCAGTAGTATGTAGGACTAATAGAGATTAGTTTAAATCTACCCAAATGTTGCAAGTTTTTTGTTTTAAGTTGTAAATGATGCCTAATCTTAAATGAGATTTAAGGCTGTGGAGCTCTTTTAAAGCTATTTTTAAGTATGGATATAGTATTATAACTAACAACATATGAGATTTAAGTGGTATTTCTTGCTGTTTTCTCAGTAGATCAAAGTCCAGATCACCGTCTCCAAAGAGAAGGTAAGCTGAATTTCTACTAAAGGTTAGTGTGTAGGTGTGTTGCTGGGATCTGCAGTGGTCTTTCTTGGAAAATCAGCTTTTATCAACATGGAAATTGCTAGCGGCTTTCCCTGTACTTCTCACTTGGAAATGCTAAAAAGTCTTGGTGGACTGATCACTTCAATGTTGTAACTTTTTTATTATATTTCAGACCCTCTTCCTTGATAACAGCATTATTAAGTGAAGTGTGAATGATGGCTTTGATCATAATCAGGGCTTCTTGACATTTACTGTACTGTCTCCTCTACATTTCATGTCAGAAAAGGCTTCGAAAACTTGCTGCAGCACTTGTTCAATATTACCTGTTTTTAAATTTAATGATGTTGTAGCAAACTTTTAAAATATAGCTATCCTTTGAAGATATTTAGTAATAGTCCATAATGGATGTTTTATAATCCATGTATCTTTAATAAGCCATGTTGAACTAGTATTAATAAGAGTGCTTGAGGAAGACGGGCTTAGCATAGTACGGTTTGTGCGTGTTTTGGTGGTCTTGCTATATGTGCAGTTTCAAATCAATGGAAATGCTCCTACTGATTTCTGTTTTCTTTCTATTTCAGCCGTTCACCATCAGGAAGTCCATAAAGGAATGCAAGTCCTGAAAGAATGGATTAAGATTACAAAATTAACCCTTTAGGAAGAAAAATATTTTGTTTACATTATTGTAAGGGATTTTGTTATGTCTTTGATATAAATGTAAGGGCTTAGTCCTAGGATATTTCTACATACTAACAATTGGCATGGATCCAGATCCCTTAAATTTGCCAAAAGTCATATCAATGAACAAATAAACAGCTTTTTGGTTTAACATCTTGACTTACAAATGTGGGACTTTTTTATTGGGACATTTGAAATAATAAACATGTATTTCTAACTAAACATTATTTTGTTTATGTGGAAACCCTACTGTTTGTTTAACTTTTTGGTAATTAAAGCAGATTTGTGTACTCTTTGGATGTGATGCAGGAAGCCACATTTAAACAACGGGTATGGAAAATACTAGCCTCCCTAAAGCAATCTGCACTCTTCCTGTTTTGTTTCACACTCTAATGGCCTGGACCTTGTGTTTTTTGAGATGGGTGAAAAAATGCTATATCCAGAAAAACTGCAAAGTGTTTATAGAAAGTGCTTGCTTTTTGCTGCTTCACCATCTCTAGAAGTGGGTTGAATTTTTTTATTTTTTTTTTTGCTTTGTGTATTTATATTGCTGATAAAACAAGAGTTTACTTCAAATAACCTCATGCAGCCCTCTGACAAAGACAAGGCACGAAGTGTTTTCTTGTCATAAAACATAGCCATGAGAATCTCTTCAGAATAACTCAGGCTTTTCTTAAAGGGAAAGAATTGCAAACACAACTTCCTAAATTTTTTTTCTTTGCAGCTCGCCTTTTCACTAATGTATGTGCTGGGAAGTAAATACAGCTTTTTTTTCTTTCCACAACCCACTTAAGTTTTTCCTTTAGACAAACTGAGAAACTGCATTTGTGACCTGCTTTGCAGCAAGGATGTAATCATAGTTATTTAAGGTATTGGTAGGTAGGCAAGATTAATGTCTAGAATATAGCTAATCCTTGATTGAAGGGTTTAATGGAGTACGTCAAGCCGTGTTGTTAGCCATATAGGGAGGAGTTGCAGAAGAGAGCACTTCATGTTTAACCTGATCATTGCTGTCCAAGGCTCAGAGTAGCAAGGGCAGTCTGGATTCCTTGTAACCTTTTTGGTTGAGAATATTAACAGTTACTTTTCTATTTTGAGTTGTCCTACTATAATTATATGGCTATTTAACCATTAAAAGCAAACTTGTTTGAGCTCAGATAGTCTGTAAATAAAATTATGGTCCAAGGTTGCACTGTGAAGAAAGAATTTTTGCACTAGCTCTAGAACCAAAAGCATATGGGGCTTCTCTAATGCAGCTGTGCTGCAGCTGATTCTTTAGATAGTGCAGGGTATCTGCATGGTAGTACTTTGAAAATGTATAGACTTCAAATAAATGGCAAATGGCATACCAAACCTCAGAGCGCAAAACTTGTTAATTTTAGGGTCATTGTGCCATTTCCCACTTATCTGTGGGCTTATCGAGACAAGTCTTAATTTTATAGTTGGACTTTTACCAGCATTTGGATATCTATGGGGTAATCGACTTGTTTATACATATTCTAAAAATAATAGAATCCAAGTATATCAGCTCTTAGAACGGACTGCTAGTTGTTTCTGACCGTTCCCCATGTTTGCTTGCTCTTATGTTCGCCAGCTGCTTTCCTGTTTAGTTTTTTTTTTTCTCTCTCTTTTTGCATGTATATGTACATATTCAGTTCTCATATATACAGGGCATTTAGTGCTTGGCAACAAAATGAACAGTTTTCATTGCTAACTCTGCTGTAATTAATATCCATAAAACAAGTTACTGTGAACTACAAAATGGGAGCAGGAGCTGACAGCATTGTATGATTATGCTGGAATGACTTAAATGCCCAGATGTAATGGCTTAGTACTCCATACAACTGGATGCTTTGATTACTCATTACCTGGAAGTTCTGCAGTATAATAAAAGTACCATATAAGATGGTGCTTGAATTTTGATCAGCTCTCTACTTTCTGTACTGTTAAGGCAAACTTAATGCACAATAAATCTGCAGACTAAAACTGCTGTACTGGTATTTCACTTCTTCAGAAAATTTTCACTTGAGGGCAACAGAAAATTGGATGGTTGGGGCTGCACTTTAGGCTTTTACTGGCATACCTTAAACCAAGGGTGGGTAAAATGGTGGATCAGGCTGGCAGTCAGACTCCACTTCCCAGCAGCCCCTGCTTAAGTTGCTGTGGCTGGTTTCCATGGAGATCCTAGTAGCAACAGCACCCTGACAGCACAGGAGCCTGGCCCCAGGAGTACTGGCAGAGCATGCAGCTGGGTGAGGAGCTGCTCCACATCCAGGATTTTGCAGTGGTGATGGCATGGTTAGAGGCAGACAGCATGAACCAGGGCAGAGCTGTAATCTGCCTGCATGGCTCTGCCAGCGGCATGCAGGCAGCAGATTAGAGCTCTGTCCGACTGGACCAGACTCTCACTGCTGCAAGATCCCTGCCAGTGCTGCTGGGGCTGGTCTCTGGGAAACCCTGTCCCTGCACTGTCAAAGTACTGCTTCTCCAGAGGTCTCCATGGAAATTGGCTGTAGATAGGCAGGGGCTGCTAGGAAATGGAGTCCACCACAGGCCTGATCTGGCCCATGGACTGGACATTGCCTGCCCCCGTGTTAAACTGGTCAAGTCATGGAAGTATCAAAAATGCTAGGATTTCTGGGTACAGAACTGTTCTAGAAGGGAGGCAGCATTCACTTTGGTCAATATAGCAGGCCAGGTTGTTAGAGCCCATCTGCAAACAAAAGCTGGTACTTAATGGGGAACCGTTGAAAGGTTCCTCTAATTTCAAGTGGCATTGGGCTGAATCTCCTTTTGGTGCCTAGGGATTGCAGATGTCAATGACTTAAACTCCCATTACCCTTTTAAACACTAGCCTGTATTATATAATAGAACTCATCTGAAAATTGCTGAGACTTCTTTATATTAGTGTTTCAGGACACCATTGCTACAGCTAGCCTATATAACTATATATTTTTCCTGCCCTTTGAGGTTAGTGGTGTTTTCTGCCCCCATTCTGCACTCACCTGGCAAGTTTTGCTGTTCATTATTCTTTTTCCAGCTGCACCTGTAGACTTCTGAATCATTATAAAGTCTGCCTCTCATGACCATTGGGAACTAGGGCCAACTATTGTCCCTAAAGATCAGGGACTTTGGCAGTATAACATAAGTTGCAGATACAGAACTAGTTAAACCACTGCTTGATCCTTTGGGAGTGTTCTTGGTTCTTGCTTCAGAGTTCCTGTTTACACTTCAGGGTTTTTTTTTGAAGTGGGGGGGCATGGCTTCCTTACTGTACTTGGAGCTGCAGGCCAGGTCTATTTCTTCAAAAAGGGCAGTACAACAAAGAACACATGCTTGTGATTTTTCAGCATGTTTGTAGTGAAGTCATTTTTACTGAAACATGTAATTCCCTCTGCTATAGCCCCAGCTGTTTTATCTGGACTGAGGAGGGCATGAGTACAGATATAGACCCACACACCATCAACTCAGTCCAGGAATTAAATGGCAGAACTGGTCCCTACCATAGTGAGTGGGTGACAGGATTAGAACTATTACCCAATTGCTTTTTAGCTTTTCATACTAGCTGCTTGGCATCTTTTCCCCAGTCAACAGTGGCCACTGAAAGCAAAAATGTGCAGGTAGCATATTAGCATTTTATTCTGAAGTTTTCAGACAAGAATAGTAGGCGTAGGCTATTTGTAAAGACAAGAGTTCACACTGGTTTGGAAGGTTAGGGACCACACTCACCTCCTGCATTTCTTCCTGTGTGTAGTGGTGACTACTAGGATCATACTTATATCATTTGTCAAGTGCTTTGCTATGAAAAGCTCTATGTGGATGCAGACTCCTATACTTTGTTCAGGCCCTGACTAAATCAAGTATCTTCCTTAGTTACTTGTATGGTATCACACTAACTTGCTCACTCAATAATAGCAATAGGATTGCAATCAACATTTGTTTCTTCATTGTCTCTCTAGTGGGGACTTATCAAATCATAGAAGAGTAGGGCTGGAAGGGACCTCAGGTAGTCAGCTAGCCCAACCCTCTGCCACAGGCAGGATCATCCCTATCCAAACCATCCTAAGTATATCTTTATCTACACTATTACTAAAACTGCTGCTGACCCTGACATACAACCACAAGGTATAGCACCCTAACCTGCCATGGTAAAGTAGGGGGACAATAACGGCCAATGCCCTGCTGCTGCACGGGTTAAATACACTAGAGATCCAAGGTAAGAGGGCCATGTCCTCCACTACCGAGAAGACAAAGCTCCTTACAGTCCATAAAAATCTGACTGGGGTAAAATTCCTTCCTGATCGCAAATGTGGTAATCCCTCTGACCCAGAGTGCAGGGCCAAGACCCCCTAACCAGGAAGTTCCAGGTTTTAGTCCCAGCAAGAACAGTTGCACATCACAGTCAAAATCCCCAGTCTTGGCTCCTGCCCGTACCCAATGTCTCCAAGGCAACTGAAAAAAACCCACCCCAAAACTTCACACAAGCAGCAACAGAAGGGACAAAAAATTCCTTCCCAACCTCATGCTGCTACTAGGAGGGCCTATAAGCATGGGGAATACCCATAGTAGAGCACAGATATTGTTACTCCCACATCATCCCTGACCAGTGCTTATCCAACACCTCCAATGGACATTTCACAACTTCTCTAGGCAGCAGGATTAGATCTGGGCTGAGCAGTACTTGAATCTTTCTGACATCCCTGAGTCAGCCCTTGAGTCAACTTGAAAATAACAAAAATAGATGGTAAAAACAATTACTTCTCTCTCATAGCAACCAATCTTTTATCTGCCTGCATTTCCCTATGGTAAACTGCATAAAGCTTATTTTAGGGTTCAGTTTCAAAAGGCAGAAAGGGAGAAGCAATGCAAAGCTCTCTCCGACTTTGTTAGAGGGATATTGCTATTTTTAGTGCTCACTGAAAAAAATCTCAACATCAAACAAGAAGTAGAGGGAAATGAAGAGAAAGCTGTGGTTTGCAGAAAGGCAAGTCAAGAGGCTGGCCCTAAGGAAACTGGCACCACCAACAGGGACACAAATAGCCCATTATCCTCTCTTGTGGCCACCGATTCATTCAGGCTCCCACTTTTGCTCACATCCTTTCCTTCTGTTTTAGCATACTTCCTCCATAGGGCGCTCATGTATTGAGAAGCAGAGGCTGTTTTCATCCTCCTGCTTGAAGTTTTGATTTCTTCACCACTGTGGCAGCAGAGAGCTGTGCTCCACAGGGGTCACTCAGGGTGAGGAGGCAAAGGTCCCACAGACTGAAAGCAGGAGTCCCCTCTTTGATCTCACTCCTCCTTCCTCTGCTGTGTGGCCAACAGCTACTGCATCAGCCCTCTTGCAACCACTGCAGAATTAATGCAAACAGGCAAGGATTAGGGGGTGGGGGGTGATAGCTTCTATTGGACCAGCTACATGGCTAGAAGAAAGTTTTCAAACGCCAGGCATTTTTCATCAGGTCTGAGGAGGAAAGCAAGCAAGTACAGGGTAGCAGACAGTTAGTGGAAGAAAAGCTGGGAGATCAAGATGCATCAAAAGGGGGGAGGTTCTGATGAAGAATGTCTTACAGTCAAAAGCTTGTCTAAATTTATTCCAACTATGCAGTTGGTCTAATAAAAATTACTCCCCCCCCAAATCCTTGCCTCTTGCATAATTCCTGGACCATCACAACTACAACATCACTCTAACACTATTATAGAACTAAGGTTTTTATAGGCATGCAATATATACATAGGGTGACCTTATGTCCCAGATTAGCTGGGACAATCCCAGATTTTGTAGGCTGTCTCAGCATCCTGGCTGTTGGAGAAAATTTAAGCAAAAGACCCAGACTGGCAGGAACTTGGAAGCCCTGAGGTTAGCGGTGTGTGAACATGTGGGCACACCTCCTGGTGTCATCCTGGATTTCCCTAAAATAATAATGATTACCCTATACATACAAGTCACTAGGCAGGTTAACCTAGTAACTTGCAGCAGCACCCTTTCCCACAGGGAGGGAGTGTGTGGCTGAGGACAGAGTGTGTGCCTCCAGTCTGTGAAGGGGGAGCTAATAACTAGGCCTGTGTGAAGCGGCTAGTATTCACTTCGGATTGAGATTCAGTCAATTCAGGGGACAGTGGTTCAATTTGGTGATTCGAATCACTGTCCCAAATCGATTCGGCCACTGCCAAATTGGCCAAATCTCTGAATCAAACAGGCCCCATCCCCTGCCCACTTTCCCAGCCCCAGCACCCCTGCTCTTTAAAAAAAAAAAAATGAAAAGAAAAAAGCCTC